CTCTCTGTCTCTCTCTTCTCTGTCCTCTCCTTCTCTCTCTCTCTCTGTCCTTCTCTCTCTCTCTGTCTCTGTCTCTGTCTCTGTCTCTGTCTTCTCTCTCTCTCTATCTCTCTCTCCTCTCTCATTCTCGTCTCTCTCTCTGGTCTTCTCTCTCTCACTCTCTGTCTCTGTCGTCTCTCTCGTCTCTCGCCTCTCGTCTCTTCTCTCATCTCTTTCTCTCTCCTCCTCGTCGCGTGTCTCTCCTCCTCGTCCTCTCTCTTCTGTCTCTGTCTTTTTCTCTTTCTATCTTCTCTCCTCTCTCTCATCTCCTCCCTCCTCTCCCCCTCTATTACTACTTCTCTATCCTCTCTGTTCCCTCTGCTCTTCTCCTGTTCTCTCTCTTTTTCTTCCTCCTCTTTTCTCTCATTCTCTCATCTCTCGCTCTCTCTCTCGTTTCCTCCTCTCCTCCTTCTCTTCCGTCTCTCTCTCTCTCTCTCTCTCTCTCCTATCTCTCTCTCCATCTCCTCTTTCGTCTCTGTCTGTCTCTCTCTCGCTCCGTCTCTGTCTCTGGTCCTCTGTCTCTCATCTCTCTCTCTCTCTACCTCTCACTCTGTCTCTCTCTCTCTCTTCTCTGTCTCTGTCTCTTCTCTCTTCTCTCCCCCCTCTCTTCTCTCTCTCTCTTCTCTCTCTCTCTCCTCCTCCTCGCTGTCCTCTCTCTCTCTCCTCTCTCCACCTGTCTCTGTCCTGTCCTCTTGTCTCATTTCTCTCTTTTTCTCCCCTCTCTCTCTCTCTCTCACTCTCTCTCTCTCTCCTCTCTCTGTCTCGTGTCTCCTCCTCTCCTCCTCTTCCTCTCCTCTTTCTCCTCTCTTCCTCTCATCCCCTCTCTCCTTCTCTTCTCTCTCTCTTCCTCCTCTCTCTCTCTCTCTCTCTCTCTCTCTTTCTCTCTCTCCTCTCTCTCTGTCTTGTCTCTCTTTTCTCATCTCTCCTCTCTCTCTCTCTCTCTTCCTTCTCTCTCGTCCTCTCTCCTCTCCTCTCTCTCTTCCTCTCTCTTCCTCTCTTTTCTCTTTCTCCT